CCAGGGGCTCAGGCTGAGGTCTTTCACATCACCTGTTGTTGTTGTTCAGTCGCACAGTCGAGTCTGACCCTTTGCGACCCCATAGACCACATCACATCACGCCAGGCCCTCCTGTCTTCCGTCGTGCTCCTGAGTTTGCTTAATTTCATGTCCGTTGTCTCGATAACACTGTCTAACCATCTCATCCTTTGCCGCCCCCTTCTTCTTTGACCTTCAGTCTTTCCCAGCATCAGGGTCTTCTCCAGTGAGTACGCCCTTCTCCTTTGGTGGCCAAAGTATTTGAGAATAGATAGGAACTCTTGGTCTGGGGCAGGTGATGCTCCGTATTCTTGGTGCTTGGAGGGGGCGACAGTGGGAGGGCTTCTAGTGTCCTGGCCCCACTGCTGGACCTCCTGATGGCACCTGGTATTTTTGGCCACTGTGTGACACAAAGTGTTGGACTGGATGGGCCATTGGCCTGATCCAACAGTGGCTTCTCTTATGTTCTTATGCTCTTCTACGGAGGCGTGGGCCCCTCCCCGAGCTTTCTTTGTAGAATTTCCCCCGCTGCCTTGGAGTAGGCTGTGAGTTGCTTTCTCGATTCTCTTGGAGCGTGGCCAGATTGAAAGCCAGAAAGGGTCCCTCCATCCTGGCCAAGTGGCTGCTCGTAAAGTTAGAATAAAACGGCAGCTCTGGCTCTTAGCGGGCCTCTTAATGGATCCAGGCCTAATGCTCTTCTCGGCTGGCACCGGCAGTGAGGTTCCGTGCCAGGTCCCCTCCATGCTCAGGCTATGGTTCCTGTCCAAAACCGCCACCGGAAAGGTCACCGGCAGAGTTCACAGGGATGCTATTTACGCCGAAGCCAGAGGGAACGGCAGAGCCGCGTCTCTCCGCGGCATCTGCGTCGGGAGCAAAGCAGAAGGCTGGACAGCTGCTGTTGTCTAGGCCTTGCCCTCGGAGCGGCTTCGCCAGAGACTGCGTCGCACCTGGCGGCAACCGAAGCGCCGACGCGATCAATCTCCCGCATTAGCCCGCCGACGCTAAAGACAAAAGCAGACGGCGATGGCACCGCAGAGCAGGAATTATCTTGGGCTGAGTCTGGGGGGAAATCTCCCCTTTAAAGCGCCACAAATCTCACTGCTTTTCTCTGTGCTCGGTCTCCACCTTGCCCCCCGACATCTTCTTTGGGGCACATTGGGAGGAGTTGACCACAATTAGAAATGGGGCCATCTTCTCTGCCTCTCTGCTTCCATCTCCCCCTTCTCCATCTTCAGGGGGTGAAGCCCTCCCAGCCTGCAAAAGCCAGTGATTTCAACTCTTCTCCCCCCCCTTAAATTGAGGTCCTTTTTTCACAGATTGAGCTAAGAGCCTCCGAGCGGGAGGCTGAGACAGTTGGCGTGTTTGTGAGCTCTCTCCGGGGAGGCGGGTGGGCGGGTGAGCGTGGGAGGCCTTGTCAGTCAGTCGAGAGGAGTGGCGGCGGCGGTGGCGGCGATGGAAGCGGCGGGAATAGAGGAGGGAGGGGGAATTCCAAAGCCGTTGCTCCTTCCTTCCCTGGGGTGTAGGCCACCTGCTCCGCGTATGCTCCCCAGTTAACACCCCCTCCTCATTCACTTTTGGAGGCAACAGGTCTTTGAAGCCCCTGGGCTAGGGTACCCAACTCCAGGGAGGGGAATTCCTGGAGATTTGGGGCTGGATCAATGCTCCCTCTAAGCCGTGGAGTCCTGTGAGCAAAAACTCTACTTTGTGAGCTCCTGGCATTAAAGTCGTGAGCGAGCGATTTGGCTGCTGCATAAATTAGTTTGCTCTGGAGTCCTCCTTCCTGAGCTAAGGCAAAAACGTGTGAGCCGGAGGCTTAAAAAGTGAGAGCTAGCTCACACTAACTCACCTTAGAGGGAACACTAGTCTGGAGATCACTTGTGATTCCAGGAGAAATCCAGGTCCCACCTGGAGGTTGGCAAGCCCACCCTGGCCTGGAACTTTGGGCAGTTGGAGTCAAGATGGGAGGTTTTACTGACCAGGGCGCATTGGAAGCATGTTTTCCCCCAGCTGATGGGGAGGGCCCGTCAATGGCGAGGGTCAGATTCGGGTGTGTGTGGGGGGAAGGCTGCTGCGTTTCCCAGTGGTCCGGCCTCAAGGGGTAGGGTGCCAGCGCTGGCTTGGGGAATACCTGGAGATTTGGGGGTGGAGCCTAAGGAGGGCGGGGTTTTTGGGGGGAGAAGTCAACGAGGTGTAATGGCACGGGGCCCGCCCTCCGAAGCAGCCATTTTCTCCAGACGAACTGATCTCTGGCGCCTGGAGATGGGTTGTGATTCCGGGAGATCTCCAGCTCATAGCTGGAGGTTGGTAACCTTACTCAAGGGAGGGTGAGACATGTGCTTGCGAGGGAGATGGCAGAAATGGCAAAAGAGGCAAGATGTGCGTGGGCCAGTTACCGCGTGGGGGGATACTGCTGGGACCTCAGTATATCGTTGGGCTGATCCGAGTTCTGTGCTGGAATGCCTCAGAAGGCTCTGGGTGAGGAATTTTTTAAGGGAAATGTTTAAAATAAACAGTGGCGGTAGCCCCCAAGCCTCCCTCTCTGGCTGTTCTTTCTGCTCCCTGTCCAAAGAGCACAGAGGGGCACGGCTTTAAGGCCTCCCTCGTCTAATACCAGAGCTGATGTCAGGAAAAAGGCAGCCTTCCTCTTCAGGCCGACAGTCTGCTCTTCCCCTCCCATGTACGGCCGCACGAGAGCCAGCACGGTGTTGTGGTCAGTGCTGGGTTGGGACTGGAGAGGCCTGGGTTCAGATCCCTGCTCAGCCACACACCCTGCCTTGGGCTTGCTTTGTGAGGATAAGAAGGGACAACCCTTATGTCCGAGAGCCACTGTGGTGTGGTGGTTAGGAGTGTTGGACTAGCATCCGGGAGACCCAAGTTTGAATCCCTACTCGTGCCATGGAAACTCGCTGGGTGACCTTGGGCCAGTCACACTCTCAGCCTAACCTACCTCACAGGGTTGCTGTGAGGATAAAATGGAGGAGAGGAGAACAATATTAAGCCACTTTGGGTCCCCGTTGGAGAGGAAGGTGGGGTACAACTGAATTAAATGAATAAAGACGTTTATTAAACGATTCCCGCCCAACCCAGATGTAGGAGGGGGCCCCCGCGGAAGACCCCACTTAAGTCTTTCTGTGTAGCCCTGTGGTAGGAGCAGCTCAAACCCGGTCTGTTTTGGTGTTGAGACAACTGGGGAAAGATGAGAGGATTCCCACTGCCTCCTCCTACCTATCTCCCCTTGGGTGGCCATTTTGAATTTGCACCTCGAGCGGCCATTTTGAATTTCCGCCAACACAGCAGCCCAGTTGCTTTCAGCACAGCCGGTCGGTCGATTGTCACATCCCGCAACCCCGTGCTCACGAAAGCCAAGGGGGAACCTGGGGAGTATGCAAGGTCATCGTTAATAGATAATTATCTAATTCAGTTAACGAGCTGGCAGTCCTCAGGAAGCTGCCGTGGGGGGAGAGTACATTTCAGGGGCTGCCTCCTCCTCAGCTTGCGCACTCTCTTTGTGTGTGTCTCTCCCCCCCCCCCCCCCCAGTTTGATTTCCCAAGGATTTTTCTGTTTTGAGTTCCTCTGAGTAATGAAAAGCTTTGGCCTGTGGGGATGATCAGAGATAAAACAGCTCCGGAGCAGACGCTTGCCAAAGCGGCGGAACGGTAATTACCACCAAGTTCTGCTTACAGTAAACAAACTGTCGCCCAGCCTGGTTTTTATCTTCCCATGTGACGAGTGCCCTGCCGCACCTTCGCAGTGGTGGCTGAAGGAGAAAAGGAGATCCCGCCTTGTTTCAGGGTGGCAGCGAGAGCTGGGAGCCAGAGACAAGACTTGGTTTGCTGTGATCGATCCATCCGTTTTGTCCTTTGAGAAACTGGCGTGGTGTAGGAAAAGAAATTCAGCCTTGCAGCAGCCCTGCAAGGTAGACTGGGCTGAGAGACGGCAGTCCCTGGGTCACTGTTACATGGTGAAAGGGCTATTGTGTTGGGTGGCCTCTACTGGCTAGGACAGCAAATCATTACAAAGGGGGTGTTACGGGATTAAAATGGTTTTGACTACGTATGATGACCAGGGAAGGGAAGGGAAGGCAAGGTGGGGGAAAGCTTTACTGGCTTTTCCTTAGAAATCAATCTTTGACGCTGATGTTTTCAAAAAGGGAAGAGAGCTGCCCCAAACCAGACCCTTGCACCTTTAGGATCAGTTTTTCAGACAGGCCTCTGGTGACTCCATGTGACGGTAGGGCCTACTTTGATCTCTTATTTGCCGACCAGGGAAGAGTCTTGAGTGAGTGACCCTGTGAGATGCTAAGAGAGGGAAGGTTGCTGGCGTCACCTGTTCCTCGGTACCAGGCTCCTCGAGGCCTAACAGTCACCCAGGGAGTTCCGGGGCTGCAGGGAGACTTGGGTCTTCCTGATCCGAGACTGATGCTCTGCCCTCTAAACCATGCTGACGTTCGGGGAGGAAAATTCTCGGGGGTTCCTTGCCCTTTGCCCTTCGTTTACACCTGCGCTCTGTGGCAAGAACCAAAAAGATTCTCGCATTTGTTTTCTGTCCCCGCGAGTATTTCGCTCGGGCATTCTTTTCCATGCCGAACCGATCCGAGAAAACGTAGGATGGGCCTCTTCCTCAGTTGCCACCTGAGCGTGTCACCAAGAGTGCCTGTACGATGGGGAAACATGCCTTTTACATTTCAGGTATACCACAGTGTGCAAAGAGGCCTTTTGACAGCAGATTGTTGGTGTCGGTTGTCTATTCGACTAGGGACATGTGTGCGGTGGTGGCCGTGGGGTGAGGGAATGCACCCTGTGGCTTCGTACACTGCGCAGTGCATTGCTTGAGCATTGTTTCTGCGCCGAGGGTGTGCAAAGGAGGTGGCCCACCTGAGCTCCTGCCTCCCTCCTTTTCCTCTCACCTTTTGTTTTGCCTTTCTCTGTCCAAGTGGGCATCCATATACATCTTTTCCTTTTTTTAACCTTCTGCACTTCAGAGAATTCCCACACGCCACTGCTGGAGGGGGCCGTGAGTCAGATGACCCCAGAGGAGCACTACCGGCGGATGATGTCGGCTCTCAATGAACACGGCGCCTTCGAGGAGCAGCAGCAGCAGCGTCTCTACCAGCTGGCCAACAGCATGGCGGTTCCCAGCCACAGCGGTGAGGGCAGTTTCATTTCACTCGGGTGCCTGTCTGCAACTCTGCTTGGGTGATTCCCCCCCCCACTCGCCCCCAAACTGTTTTTCTGGGGAGCCCCAGAGTTCCCTGCAAGCTTAACAAGGGGTCTACAGCCAACGTGGAACTTCTCTGAAAAGTCAACTGGTCCTCCCTTTATGGATCTCCTCCTGTAAACGGAGCCTTTTGCATGGCTCTAAGATGCGCTCGCAATACATGCCGGGGGACAGAGACATCTGAAATGAACTGTGGGGCTGGACTAGATGGACCCCTGGTCTGATCCTGCAGGGCTCTTCCTATGTTCTTATTGGGGAAGGCCTTGGCCTCTCTGCCCTGTTGCTGGTCCTCCGGAGGAACTGGTTGGCCTCTGTGTAAGCCAGGATGTTGGACTAGATGGACCACTGCTCTGATCCAGCAGGGCTCTTCTGATGTTCTAATGAAGGCCTTGGCCTCTAGGCCCTGTTGTTGGCCCTCTAGAGGAACTGGTTGGCCACTGTGTGAGCCAGGATGCTGGACTAGATGGAGTGCTAGTCTGATCCAGCAGGGATCTTCTGATGTTCTTATGAAGGCCTTGGCCTCTAGGCCCTGTTGTTGGCCCTCTAGAGGAACTGGTTGGCCACTGTGTGAGCCAGGATGCTGGACTAGATGGAGTGCTAGTCTGATCCAGCAGGGATCTTCTGATGTTCTTATGAAGGCCTTGGCCTCTAGGCCCTGTTGTTGGCCCTCTAGAGGAACTGGTTGGCCACTGTGTGAGCCAGGATGCTGGACTAGATGGAGTGCTAGTCTGATCCAGCAGGGATCTTCTGATGTTCTTATGAAGGCCTTGGCCTCTAGGCCCTGTTGTTGGCCCTCTAGAGGAACTGGTTGGCCACTGTGTGAGCCAGGATGCTGGACTAGATGGAGTGCTAGTCTGATCCAGCAGGGATCTTCTGATGTTCTTATGAAGGCCTTGGCCTCTAGGCCCTGTTGTTGGCCCTCTAGAGGAACTGGTTGGCCACTGTGTGAGCCAGGATGCTGGACTAGATGGACCACTGGTCTGATCCAGCGGGGCTCTTCTGATATTCTTATTGGGAAAGGCCTTGGCCCCTGTGCCTTGTTGTTGACCATCCAGAGGAACTGGTTGGCCACTGTGTGAGACAGGATGCTGGACTAGATGGACCACTGGTCTCATCCAGCAGGGCTCTTCTTACGTCAGCTCACTGACATTCAGTGTGGCCACTGAGAGGCAGGGCAAGGGGGCATGCCTTCTCTCTGAGGAGTCTTCGACTGGATCACAAATAAAGCTGGACTTCTTTTCCTAGGAAATCAGACACGGAGCTTAATGTCTGCTCCAAAACCTGTTTTTGTCGCTCAGGGCTCAGTCTCAGAACATGGGAGGCGACCACTGGGTGTCGGGTAGCAGGCAGCGGTGCTGCAGTTGGTTGTTGAAACCTGGGTGGGGTTCACACTTTCAGGCCTTGGGCGAAACCGTCAGTTAGCAGGTGTGGATGTGCGACTGGGGCAGGAGGGGGTATTGCAAGAGGATCCACCCATGTGGATGCAAAGAGCAGAAGCAGGGTCCAATCTCAGCTTGGAGAGCAGGCCGTTTAATGCCCCAGCACCCCCTTCTGCAGATCAAGCACGGGTAATTTATTTTCCAAGCAGGCTTGTGGCAAAGACGTTTTGGTGTTGGACTCAAAACATTGAAATGGCATGGGAAGGTGAAGGGAATTTCCAGACCATTTATCAGCCCCCATTTTGCAGTAAAAATAACCCATTAAACCCTAAGGATTGTGAAAACATCATCTGAGGCACATCTCCCATAGGCCCAGTGTGGCATAGCAGTTAGACTGTTAGAATAGGAACTCGGAGAGCTGGGTTCGAAGCCCCACTCCACCAAGAAGCTTGCTGGGCGACCCTGGGCCCGTCAGTCTATCTTACCTCACAGCGACTACAAGGATGGACGGCTTCAAAAGGGAATTAGATAAGCATATGGAGCAGAGGTCCATCAGTGGCTATTAGCCACAAGGTATAGATAGGGGCTCTGGGGCAAGTGATGCTCTGTCTTCTTGGTGCTTGGGGGGGGGTGTCAACAGTGGGAGGGCTTCTAATGTCCTGGCCCCACTGGTGGACCTCCTGATGGCACCTGGTATTTCTGGCCACTGTGTGACACAGAGTGTTGGACTGGATGGGCCTTTGGCGTCTCTTATGTTCTTATGTTGTTGGGAGGATAAAACTGGGCTGAGGGTTCCTGAGCTCTTTGGTGTAAGGGCAGGATAGAAACATACTAGAGAGAGAGAGACGTGGCCTTAGGGTCTGAAAAGGTGAGGAATAGTCCTACGAAGGACCCTCCGCTGTTGTTCCGCACAGTCTCTCCCTTTTGATTCCATGAAAAGCATCTGTATGTAACACGGAGGGCTTTTCATAGTTCTGCTTTAACTTAACCCAAGTCTGGCTGGGGGAGAATGGGGGGGGGAGTGTTGAGAGAGAGAGAGAGATGGAGAGGGAGAGAGAGGAGTTGAAAAGGAAGACGCTTCCTCCTCCATGTGGCAAATCCGCACTCTGACAGATCCTCCCTGGAATGTTGCCCTGAAGGATGCCGGAGGGCATCTTTCTGCCTTCTACCTTTTCTGGCAGCTGGGAAGGAATCAGCCGGGGGTTGTCAACCCGTTCTGCCGGGCGCCACCGCAATTTGAGACAGGCGGCTTGTTGCTGCAACAGGGTCCCGGAGACAGAATTAATATACCGGCTCTGCAGGTTCCACCGGCTTCCGTTTAGCACACCCTTAACAAGGTTTGCTCTGAGACGGCTCCAGAGGCCCTTGGGATTTCCTTCCCGACGGAAGGTCCAACCATATGTCCCCCTCAGTGCTCCCTCTAAGCTATGGAGTCCTGTGAGCAAATATTTGTGAGCTACTGGCAAGAAGAAGGAGAAAAAGAAGAGGAGATTGGATTTATTCCCTGCCCTTCACTCGGGAGTCTCAGAGTGGTTTACAAACTCCTTCCCCTTCCCCTGCCCAAAACAGACACCCTGTGAGGTAGCTCTTTCAAGAGCTCTTTCAAGAACTGCCCTTTCAAGGACAGCTCTTGTCAGAACTATGGCTTGCCCAAGGTCATCCAGCAGCTGCAAGTGGAGGAATGGGGAATCAAACCGGTTCTCCCAGATTAGAGTCCTTGGAAGTCTCCCATCCACATACTAACCAGGGCTCACCCTTCTTAGCTTCTGAGATCTGACGAGATCAGGCTAGCCTGGGCCATTCAGGTCAGGGTATATCAGTGTTCCCTCTAAGCTGAGTCAGTGTGAGCCGGCTCACAGTTTTTTAGCCTCCAGCTCACACATTCCTGTCTTGGCTCAGGAAGGATGGCTCCAGAGCAAACTAACTGATGCAGTAGCCAAATGAGTAGACTTCCAAGGAATTCCAGGGTTTGCTATGCAGAGACAGCCAATGGCAAACTGTCTGTTTGTCTCTACCCTGACCTGGATGTCCCAGCTTAGCTCGATCTCGTCAGATCTCAGAAGCTAAGCAGGCTCGGTCCTGGTTAGTATTTGGATGGGAGACCACCGAGAAAGTCCAGGGTCGCTATGCAGAGGCGGGCAACAGCAAACTTCCTCTGAATGTCTCTTGCCAAAACCTATAAGTCAGCTGTAACTTGATGGCCCTTTCCACCGCCACCCTCTCCAAGTACAAACCTGCCATCTGTAGGGATGGATCCTTGCTATTACTTTAATACTACTTTACACAGAGAGTGATTAAAATGTGGAATTCGCTGCCAGAGGATGTAGCGGTGGCCACAGGAATAAACAGCTTTAAAAGGGATTAGATAGATCCATGGAGGAGAAGTCTTTTCAATGGCTACTGAGGCATGGTGACTGAGGGGAACCTCCACGTTCAGAGGCAGTCAGCCTCTGAATCTCAAGGCCAGGAGGCAGCATCAGGGGAAGGCCTTGGCCTCTCTGCCCTGTCGTTGGCTGTCCATAGGAACTGGCTGGCCCCTGTGTGAGACAGGATGCTGGACTAGACGGACCTCCACTGGTCTGATTCAGCAGGGCTCTTCTTAGGTTCTTAGGCCAAGCTTCCTCTTTCTGGTCACCTGTAGGCAGTTGTTTACCAGCCACCGGCCACTGGGCAAATGGCTATCTGCAAGCCTTTCCCTAACTCAGGCCCAGTCGGCCAACAGAGCTTCCTTTCATCTTAGGAGCAGAAACAGGGGGTAGGGTTGGGGGAGATGCTCGGTTAGTCTGGGCATAAATTTTATTTCTGTCCATGCAAAAACATCGATTGTCTGTGGGCATGCCCAGTGGCACCAACGAGCCTTTTAATAATTTAGGGAACCGTTTTTGCTTTAATTGGCTGCCTGGCCTTCCCCCCACTCCCCCCCCCCCCCCCCGCACGCTATTCCACATTAACATTAATCCCCGCATTCTCAATTCTCCGTGCCTGGAACCGCCATCCCCCGTAGCATCCGTGTGTCAATCACTCTTGATTTCCAAACCGTCGGAGAGGGTAGCATTGTAAATAACACATAGGCTCGGTAGATGTGCGTGTGCGGCTGGGGAAGAGGGATGGGAAGCGAGAGAGCGAGGAAGGAGAGCGAGGGGGGGAGAGGCTCCGGTGGATTGTTGCGGTCATTCGGGATCAATGCCGCTCCTGGAACTGGCAGCGCTTCAGGCTTCTAAATTACAGGGGGGCCCTTCCCTCCCCCATGCAATAAGGCACGACCTGCCTTTTTCAGATAATTAATTTATAAACATTGGAGGCGGAGGGCCACTGGCCGGGGAGAAGTCTTCCCGCAGTCTGGTGAGGCTGGCTGTATAGATGCAAAAGTCTTTTTGCCTGGGAAAGCGGGTAGCTAGCGCTGCAGATTTCAAAGCAAAAGGGGCGAGCATTCGGCCGATGGTCCTGTCCTTGTGGGGAAGCTCATCAGGTGTCGCTTTCTTGGTTCGCCTCTTTTGAATGCCTCCCTGTCCATGCACTCGTTGAAGGCACAGCTGAACCCTCGGCCCCC